TCTCAAGACAGAAAGCATATGAGATAAATTCCTAGAACTGGAACTCCTCAGCAGTTTTTTTTTTTTGGTGGCAGTACTAGGTATCGAAGCCAGGACTTTGCACATACCAAGTGCTTCTCCACCGAGCTACATCCCCACCCACCCTCCTTGGCCTAGTTTGGATAGTTACTGCTTTTTGTGAAGGTTGTACCAGTTTATCTTCCCACCAGTACCTATAAAGGACCTGCTGTCTCACTAACTCGGACCGTTGTCTGAGCCCAATCCCCTTACTTCAGCTTCCGCCAGACCGTCCAGGATCTTCTCTAGAATAGTGTCAGGAAAAGGTGGGGCTGTTCTTGAGATCGCAGAGGCCAACAGGTAGCTGGGTGCACAGGCAAAGAGCAGCAAGGCAGGGAAGCAGTGCAGATGATTAACATTCCTGACACCAATTACGAACTGTGCACTGCCCTCCAGAGAAGAGCAGCATTGTCTGCGTGCAGCGCACAAAGGGTCAAAGCTCACAGATCTACTCCTAGCGAGGGAAACCCCCACAGGTCAAAGTGTTCAGATTACAGGTCCAGGAAAATCCTCCTGCAGAAAGAAGACAGAAAATCCCCAGTACAGCTGAAAGGACAACTTTCTTCATTTCAGACACTCCAATGACTAAACCGGTTAAACATGGTTAGGATTTAACGAACATGAAAACAACTGGATTAAAGAATAATCCAGATGGAAAGGAAATGTACCAAGAAAGCTAAGTAATGGCAAAGCTGCAGCGTGCACCTCGGCCAACCAGGGACGGTCATCCCTGTTATATAACCAAATTCCCTTCCATGTTAGCGTCCTTTAGGTCAGGGCAGATTCTGATAAACACACTGGCATCACGGCAACCGTGTAAGCCCTAGGGGCAGTGACGTCCAGGACGCTGGTGGCCGCCAGCAGCCGGGGCAGTGCTCTGGCATGGACCCTGCCAAGCTTCGTGGCCTGCACCCCTATAGGAGAGGCCAGTCGCATCCACTGCACGTGTGATTTTCGGATTGCGAAGACTACAGTTTAAATGTTTCACTTCTTATTGGCTGTGAGACCTAGGACAAACTAAACTCTGTCCCAACTGTCGGTAAAATGACAGTAATACCTGTTCAGTAAGGCTGCTCTGACAATTAAATGACAAATGAACCAGCCCAGAACCAGTCCCGGTCATGGCACAGCCACATCTCACTGTGGCATGGGAGGGCTCAGAGGTTTTCTACATTAGGGCTTCTTAACCGTTTTGTGCCCACAGATCCCTACTCAGGTATCTGTAAAATAAAACACACAGGATTACAAAAATAAACTCGTTTATTAAAATACTTCTATTAAAGCATATTGAAAACTTTTGATAAAATGTTTGATTGTCTTTAACACATTAAACAAGGCCTTGTGGTGGATCCAGTAACTATCGCAATTTTTAGGTGATGGTCAGGACTGTCATGGGGCTGCAGGGTAGAACAGCTTGTTGGTACAGCACTCGCCCAGCACGTTCAACCCCTTGCACCACACGTGAAAACAAACCTGAGTCTTTCCTAGACTATGTCAAGTCTATGTAAGAGCCCATCCCGGTCTCTCTTTTTTTTTTGGCGAGGGGGGCGCATTATATTACAGTGATTTTGAGTTTTAGGATTTCCTTTTGATTCTGAGTGTTTTACTGTATCACCCATTTCTTATACCCCCGCCCTCAGGGATCAAACCCAGGGCTTTGTGGACGTTAGGTAAGTGATCAGATGCTGAGCAACATCTGCAGCCCTTACTGATCTGTTTTTGCATGTTGTCTAATTTTCCCATGAAAACCTTTAACACAGCTGGCACTGGAGGTGCACACCTGTAGTCCCAGTTATTGGGGAGACTGAGAACAGAGGATTACTGTAAGTCATAGAGACCAGCCTGGGCAACACAGCGAGATTCTATCTCAATAAACAAAATTAAAAAGTCCTTTGATGTATTAGTTACTTTTAACTGCTTCATAATTCCATCATCTGTGACAAATCACGTCACAAATCATCATCTGTCACTGGTTTACCTTTTTCTCTTTGTCTTTGTGAGACAGAGTCTCCCTATGCAGTTCAGGTTGGCCTTGAGCTCACTTTGCAGCCCAGGCTGGTCTCAAACTTGCAACAATCCTCCTGCCTCAGCCTCCCTGAGTGCTGGGATTTCAGGCATGCGTCACCACGCCCGGTTTATCTCTTTTTTTCTTTTGGTATGGCTTGAAATTTTTTGTTTAGAGCCAAACATGTTGCATTTAAATAATATAAACTGATTTATACCACTCTGGCTAGAGCTGGACTGCACTTGGTATTTGTGGTAGTTTCTAGTGCCAGATTCCACCTTCCTCTCGTATCTTTGTTGCTTGCCTCCTGAGTTTTGGTTACCCTAAAACTCCTCAGAGATGACACTACAGCCCCTGGTGCAGTGGAAGATGTGGCTAGGAGCGCTCTATCATCCAGATGAAATCAGTGACACTGAGAGCCTGTTTCTCCTCCAAGTCTCTAACACGGCTATCTATTTCCTTGAAGTTGTGACCCTTTAACTACACTGTTTGCTTGAGGTAAGGGGCAGGAAGGTAGGGTGAGGGCAGCTGGAGTGGGAAGAATGGCCTTCCCCCAGCCAGGATGACCCTGGCAGTCTCAACCCTGGAGAGGAGCCTCCGTAAGAAAGCACTATTTCATAGTGACTATTCGTTCTGTTCCCTTGCCAGAACCAGCAGGGGCCTGTTCTGGGACTTCCCTCTGGCCACCTCTGGATAAAGGCCATGTGACGAGTCTCTCTAAGGCTGCAATCCCCGAGGAATTTTTACTCTCAGGCGAGTCCACACACAGGCTGCGGCAAGCACCTCACTAATACTACAGCCTAACTACTCCCGGTCACTTCGGCTCCCCATGTGCCTATTTCAGCCAAACCTCTCGAGATCAGCCTGTCTCTCCAGACTGCGGGGTGGTTTGCCCTGCAATCTTCATTTGCTGATGGGTCTGAGAAATCTCTGTCCAGATTTTTCATTTTTGCAAGCACAAGGGCACCACCTTTCAAGCCAGCCCCTTCCTCTTACCTGAATTCCCTTCCCAGTACGTTAGTGTCTGCTTCGTGGCAGTGCCCTCCCGAGGTGGAGCCTGAGAAAAGGCTGGGCCGGGCCTCTCCCGCCTGCCGGCCCTCTGCGTATCTCAAGTGCCTGGCGTTGCTGGCTGCTTCCATTACGGCACTCAGTCTGACAGTGCAGACTACTTCTAAACTTCTTTTCGTGCTTCTTTTCCTGGCCTCTAACAGCACTTTAATTTTTCGTAAGACCATAAATCAAGATTTACAAAAGTAATGTCTCAATTTGATAAGCTCTTTTTCCTGACTTCTTTTTGTAATGACTACCGTAGTCAAGTAAACTCAGATACGACCAAGACAGACAGGCACACGGCACACACCTATAATCCTGCCTCAGCCTCAGCCTGAAGCTCCTTAGAGTCACTCATCCACCGCTGCCAACTCATGGGCAAATTTAATTCTATCCTCTGAGGAAGACTCCCACAGGTTTCTGGAACCCCTTCCTATGTGGTCAGAATTCACAGCATCTAAACCTTCACGGTTAACTTAGAGGGGCAAAGGTATAGTTTTACTACAAACCACCGTCTTAGCTCCCTAGGAGACAACACTGAAAAGCATCTTTCTGAACTGGGCAAAAACTTAGACCAAACGACATTTCGCTTCATTTAAAAACTTCTGACTTTTCCAGAGGATACCTGTCCTTAGGACACTGGGACAGAGATGAAAAGAAAGCAGGGCAGTACAACGCAGCCTAACCACGTGACTGTATTTTCTATCCACGACTTCCTGATCTATTATTTTTCTGTCCTGTCTACCAAAACATGGCAGTCTTTGATACTCTCTAGCCCACTCAAATAAAATTAACATGTTTAGCTTTATATTTCTTACAATGATGGAACTATCCAGCTTTATGGAATTGTGAATCACTGTCTGAGCAACAAAATGCCTTGTAAGGCAGCTCTGATTTCTAGTCTGCTTGGCTGAATCCCGGTTTGCGAAGACCAAAGCTCGTTTCCTCTCACATGCACAGACTCATTTACCAAGGAGACAGCTCTTGGTGGGAGGATCGCCCTTCCTTATCTTGGGATTTAATGCTGGGTCACATGAGTCCTCCAACTAGCACGGGCTATGCAGACTCAAACCAGAAACCATGGCCCGGCTGCAAAGGTCTTGGCCATAACACAAGTCAGGCAGCAAGAAGTTGTGTATTTTCTGGTGTCTTATCTCTTACACAAGTCAGGCTACAACTCTGTAAAGAGGCTAAAGTATGCCACTAGCCCAACCCTAATTAAAGAGAAACCATCATCTGCCGACTTACTTACTATACCCTTGCTACGTTCAGATGGACCAGGAGAAAAAGTCTGAGAAACAGGAGGCTTGGTGTTAACTTATCCTAAAAGGCCTTTTGAAGAATTACTTCAGATTATAAAGCATTTCTCCAATACACAAAGTGCTTCATAACAATTCAATAAGCTTTAAGGAATGCGTTTTTAGTGCATGGCTTTTCAAAAAAGGCCGCAGACTTGGTATCACCACTGTTTAAAGAGGAATGGAGTTACAGGAATGAGAAGTGTATAATTAGTAAATAATCCCTCTCAACAAGTGAGTTAAGTAGCTAAGCCATAGGGAGAAGAGAAAAGCTGGAGGCGACACCATCAGTGCATATCAGAAATGCATTTTTATTTGAAAACAACTTAAATTTTTAGACAAATGATTTTAGTATATAAATTTGATTTTGTTTTTATATAGAATATAAAGATTTCCCTCATTAATTTTCCAGGTGAAGGGTATGTAGGCCTGAAGGGAAGTACGTCCTGCACACAAGCGTGTATCTTTCGTGTGCGGCACTAAGAACGAACGGTGTAGTGCTCCCACACATAAATTAGATCAAGTGACATTACACATTCAGGGGGGTTATTCTAGTTAATCAGATTGAAGAAGCAAACATGACACAAAACTGTGCAAATAAGACCAAGTCAGAAACTTTAGTTAGGACACTGCAGAGTATATGGGAAGGTCTGTGAGGCTATCGTGTATATACCACAATACAACAGCAAGGAAGAGCTATTCATAGAGAAAGCTGGAATGAGAGATTTTCACTAAAACAAATTAGCTTGTCAACTGCCGAACAAAACTGAGCAATGAGTGTTACGATAGTGAAGGCAGGTTGCACCGGTTCTGAGCAGCATGCGAGGGGTCAGAGCGTCGTCACGGTGCACACGAAACATGAACGGTCACATTTTGCCTCTTAGCACACTTCAAGCATGTCTTATTTTAGACGGAGTATAGCTTTTATCTATTATTTCATCCTGTAAAAACATGTGAAGACAACGTTCATTCTGTGCCAGAGGATGACCAGCGACCCTGGAAATTAAAAATACAAATTTAGTCCAGTATTTTATGAAAGTAGTGGTAGTAGGGGTTAAAACACTCATTTTACGGTCAGGAAGTATTCAGAATTTACTAAAAACAACTACTATTCTGGAATAACTCTATAGTTATGCTCTGCTAACTAATGGTGTATTTTCTTTCATGTGGTTCACAAGAACAACTTAAAAAACATTTCCTACCAGATTAACTTGAGACTGCTTCTGACATTTGTATCCCACTAGATTCTAAAATATCAGCTGGCGTGTTTATAAGAAACTTAAATGAATCTAATGTTAAAAGTGAAATGTGTCACTGAATTCTAAAAAGGTATCTGCATGAGAATGCACAGGATTGGAGTTAAAAATACAGGAAATGTAATAAAAGCCCCAATAGTGTACTAAGAATCAGGCACAAATGGCCACCTCTTTGATTTGTTTCTCGTCTTCTTGGCTTTCTTTTAAAGTTTTCTGGGCCGGGGATATAGCTCAGCGGCATAAGCGCCTGCCTGGCAAGTGCAAGGTCCTGAGCTTGATTCCCGGTACCACAAAAAAAAAAAAAAAAAGTTTTCCATCTCATGCTAAATACAAACCAAGACTGGCCTGTGATCACAGCTACACCAGTGGATGAGGCAGCAGGGAAAGTTCGAGGCCAGCCTGAGCAACTTAGTGACTTAGCAAGGCTGTCTCAAAATTAAAACAGGCTAAGAATGTAGCTGAGCACCAAGGCCCTGGGTTTAATTCCTAGTATTACAAAAACAAATTAAATTAAATTAAATTAAAAGGCTATATTTCAAATGGGAATAAAATTAAATACTAGAGATAATAGTTTGAGTTTATCAAGAATTTCTGAAAGACAAACATTCCTAAGTTTTTTTACATTTTCAAAGGAACATTTTGTCGTGAAAGTAAAAAATGTACACCTTTACACAAGACACGTTGATATCTCCATCTGCAATCAAACAAAATGATTGCAAGAGTATTGTGCATTTTATTGTTCATGCTAGAACATATCTTAAATCAGAAAGAACAGAAAAACTATTTTTTAAACACTGTAATTTAAAATGTAATCTGCATAAATTAACCAAGAAAAACAAATATAAAACTTAGGTCAACGCAAAGCTACTCATTTCAATCACTCAAGGGTGTTATATTACAAGACATTCAACTTGTCATATACTTTTACTTAGTTTAAACACTCCAAAAAGTTAGGATATGGCCAAGGGGAAAGGCATTATCACAGTTTAGTTTAACATCGAAATTACAGGTAGGTCCCTACAGGAGTCTCAAAACAATATTCACACTCACCCCCAAGGAACAGAAAGCACTTACTTGTTTATAAACTGCTCCAGCCCTTGCTTCCTTTCCTCAATAAAATTGTCGTCAAATATTCCATCATCTCCTCTAAAAGGAAGCTGACGCAAAAATGCCTTCCCAGGGAGCGGGGGAACTACAACCTAAAACACCAAAATCATCTCTCAATTAAATGAAGAAATAGATGTTAAGAACATAGTAGGTAAGAATTTTGTGGTTTCTTTAACCTCTTACCATCTGCAAGCTTCCTGCATGTGCTGAGGTGATGACAAAATCATCAACATCTTTGTGTTCCATTTCATAAACTAAGAAACATGTCAGCTTTCTCTCAAATCCTATATTCTGCTAGCTTTTCCCAAAGGCGTTCCTTTGCTTCCTTCCCACACTGTTGGACTATTCTAAATTTTCCCTTCGAAGTCTAACCTAGGAGCATGCGAGGCAAGTGCTCTATCCCACCTCGGACAGCCAGGCAATTCGATGAAGGGCCGGGATGGGGCCTGTGTGACTGCAGGATACTTAGCAGCATCCCTGCCCCCACCACTAGATAAAAGTGGCACCTCCCAACTGAGACAATAATCCCATCTTTTAAAGTTTTCCATCATAGGCTGAACACAAAACCAGATTGGCCTGTAATCCCAGCTCCTCCAGTGGTTGAGGCAAGAGGATGGCAAATTAAAAAAATAAAAAGAGCTTGGTACGCAGCACAGACTCCCTGGATTCAGTCCCCAGTATACAACACAACACACACTGGACAAACAGACTCCGACTTCAGAATTTCAAAGCATGTAGTATAGTACTATTCTTACTCAAAAGGAAGCACAGACATTCCTTGTTTAATGACCTACATGGTTAGTGACCATTTGGACGTGCTGTTTACTTACTGCCTCTTTTTTGTACAGTTCTGTACATATTATTTATAAAGCTTTACTGTCTTTACTGTGGTACAGTACACCTTATCTATACAGTACTGTAACTTCTGCTGACTGCACTGAGCAGTAGAGTACAGCAGTTTCACGTTGTTATACATTATAGTACTGCATGTCAACTATGCAAATAAAAGTAAAATCATCAAGTTGGGATGAACACTTTTTGTTCTGAATATTGTAACAGTACATAACAAATACCGCGACCAATTCAATTTACAACCTAACCGCAAGACCGTAGCTTGGTTGCTAAATGAGGAATGTCTGTATGTTCATAAAGACAAGTGTGCTACAGTAGACAAACAACAGCCAAATGCTTTGTGTAACCCCCCCACCCCTTTTTGCCACTCACAGATCTTCAAATCACTAGATAAAAACTAATGTGTAAATTCACATAATCTATTCTCTAGGATTTGGTCAAACTTAAGGCCAATGCATGATTAGGGTAGGCCCTTTTCTTGGCGTAACTCTTATCACTGTGGCTTTTTAAAGACAACTGTATTTCAGCCAGGTGTGATGAAGCAAGCCTACAGTCCCAGCTACTTGGGAAGACTTCCTGAGCCCAGGAGTTGTGTATCATTTTAAGAAGATATCGTCTATGGGTGTAACTCTAGTAAAGTGCTTGCCTAGCATGGAGGCCCTGGGTTTAATCCCCAAAGCATTAAGTCTTTTTTGTGGGGTGATTTTTTTTTGTCTTTTTGAGACAGGGCCTTGCTCTGCAGTGCAGGCTGGCCTTGAGCTCACTTTGTAGCCCAGGCTGGTCTCGAACTCACAACAATCCTCCTGCCTCAGCTTCCTGGGTTTACAGGCGTGCACTACCATGCCTGCCTAGACTAAAGTCTAAGAAAATCTAGCATACAACAAAAGCAGAAGCTCAAGTATCTAGCTTAGCTTACAACAAAAGAATACAGAGAAATATAAATAGTAAACATATATAGAAAATTATTCCCTTTCACCAGTAACACAAACTATACATATTCTACAAGAGTTAAAACTTTCTTATTGTTGCTGAGTGCTAGGGGCTCGCATCAGGTCTTAGCTGTGCTAGGACAGTCCTCCACCCCTGTGCTCCACCCACCCCCAGCCCAAGAGTTAATAGTTCAGTAGATTAACAAAGAGAAAGATCAATTTCACACAGATCAACAAAAAAAGCAAGAAACCAAATGCCCAACATAAACTTTATAATCCTCTCTAATTATTAAGACCTATCAGGATTCACCGCCGTAAGTTTGCTTTATTATTTACTCATGAATCTCTCTCCTATATTAGCATTTATCAAGCTGAGTGTTTTAAAATCTGCAGGGATCTTACAACTGAGAAGGGACCCTGATCAGTGAGTTCCACTAAAATGGCTATGTGATGGGCAGAGAATATCTATACCTACAAAAGCTCTTATTTAAAAAACAAATCTGGGACCAGTGTAAATGGACAGCAGGACTGTAGTCAAAAGGAATAACGACCTACGAAAGTCACGAATGGCTTGTTCAGCTAAGATTCCTAAGATCTAATTAGAATTCTTGCATTCATTCATTCTTCCAAGATGGTCTTGCTACAAATTCCATGATGGCGCTGAACTCTCTGTATAGTGCAAGCTGGTCTCAAACTCATGATCCTCTTACTTCAGTCTTTTTTTTTTTTTTAAGACAAGATCTTGCTACATAGTTCAGGTCAGCCTTGAACTCTATTAAAATAAAACCTGAGAATCTGAAAGTTAAGGCTGCATTACAAGTAATCTTACCTTGCTCTCTCTTTCCAATTCACTTCGTAGCCATTCAAAGTCACTGTATCTTCTTCTAACAGTAGATTCCTTCAGCTTGAAAATAGGGAGATTTGTCTGAAATAAAAAGTCATGCCTTAGTTGAAGCACATTAATTAAGGAGATGTCAAAAATGGGAGTCTGTAAGGCTGGCAGTAAGACAAGTCTGGTCATCTTAAAGAAATCATGAAGCTAATGAAGACATTTACCTATAACAAAACTCTGCCAGCTAAAAAAGTGTATTATTCACACTAAATACAACTTTCAAAAGGCATCTCTGCATGGATGCTTTGGGCACCACTCTGCCTGAGGTTACTCACCTGCACATGGGTATTTTTCCCGTTACTCTGGTAAAAATGTCAGTGGAGCAGGAGTAAGGAAAGGCTAGACTTGACTGCTCGCCCGCTCAGCCAACACCTCAGCAGACCCTCCTCACGGAGTCTCTGGGATGTGCTCTCCATGGGGGACTGAGTTCCCACCTCGAATTACAAGGCCCTCCACCAGCAGGCTCCTGTTTGAGGATGCTAAGACACCTGCCTCCTATTTTTTAATATCTAAGTTCTAGTAATACACTGAATGTTGCTCTTATAATACCAAGAGAAAATGATGGAAAACTACTTTAATTATTGAACGAATGTGGAAATCACAGCTACGTCATCAAATCTGGATACTGAAGCCCAGCTGATTGTGGAAGTGTCCCAGCAGCGTTCAGCTCTCTGGCAAGCCAGACACTGAAACAGAACATCCACTGGATCCAAATTCAGAAGATCAGCTCAGGTATTGCCTCAGAAACAGAATTCCTACTGCCCAATTCGATAAAAGGTACGTGGCCTTGAGCCCAACTTGTGAAGTCCTTAAATGAAGAGGACAGTGAACACATTCAATAAATACCAAGTTAACTCTGACCTGGAGGCAGCAACTGTCCCATTTAAAGCTGAATGCAATACCACACATCTCCGTCCTGGAACTTGAGTCAGGCAGGTCTACATCCCCTCTGTAACAAACCATTTCTCACCCATGAAAGTCAAGAACTCTAACCAACAAACGGGAAATGTGGTCTCTACCACACCTCCGTTAACAAGTTCTTTGTCACCAGTTGGCAGGTTGGAGAGAGAGGCTCCTCCCATCAGAAAAGAAAGTGCTATCAATCACACAGATGAAAGCGGGTTTGCTCCTGTCCTGTGGGTTGCAGCATAGGGGCAGATAGCCGTGACAGAGTTCCCAGGGCAGGAGGGTGCCAACCCTCAACTTTCAGGAAAAGGCTGAGAAAGCGCACTGTCCTTGGCTATACTTAAGGTTACAGGTATCGTCAAAATGCTGCTGGACTGTGGTGTTGACGGGAATGAATGTGCCTGGAGTAGAGGGACAGCTCTGCTTTACGCTGTACATGGGAATCATTTTCTAAGATCCTTTTAGAAAATGAAGCTCACGCTGGGTGTGGTGGCGCATGCCTGTAATCCCAGCACTTGGGAGGCTGAAGCAGGAGGAGGATCATTGTGAGTTCAAGGCCAGCCTGGGCTACAAAGTGAGCTCAAGGATAGCCTGAACTGCACAGTGAGACCCTGTCTAAAAAGACAAAAAAGAGAGAGACAGGGAGACAGAGAGAGAGCGAGAGCGAGAGCGAGAGGCAAAATGAAGCTCACCCAATACTCAAAACCAACTCTGGGTGTACTTCCACGGATGTAGCTGCAGTCCTGGGCTACAGAAGTGTTCAACAGGTTATCCAGTCACATTTGCTAAAGTTGTTTCAAAACATCAAAGTCTGATACAGTCCTCAGAAACTGTTGCCTGCTATTCCATTTACCTTTTTTTTTTTTTTTTTTTTTTGTTTTTCTCCGGTACTGGGAACCGAACTCACGACCTTGTGCTTGCCAGGCAGGCGCTTTGCCGCTGAGCTAAATCCCCAGCCCCTTCCATTTACCTTTTGATCCTTATAAACAAGGGGTGTGTGTGTGTGTGTGTGTTGAGACAGGGTCTCACTCTGTAATCTAGGCTGGTCTTCGACTCGTTATGTAGCCCAGGCTGTCCTTGAACTCCTGGTGATCCTTCTGCCTCCGCCTTTGGAGTGCTGGGATTATAGGCATGTGCCACCCAGCCTTGTTTACTTTTAAATTTTTACGCTGGAGGCAATATTTTTTGATTCTTAGGAAGTTTTAATAAATATTTCTCTTTAAATACATTTCTCTTACTTCACTGGTTTATAATAAAAATTATGTTGTTTTATAAACGTGTTTTACAATATATTTAAAATTATGTATAAATGTTTTGTACCAAGTAAATTTTATAGTACAGACAGTTATGTGCCTTTGTATCAACAGACACCTTCAAAAAATTTTTTCAGCCAGGTTAGCAATGCATTCCTGTACCTCAAAAGCAACTGAGAGGCTGAGGCAGGAGGATCACAAAGAATTCCAGGCCAGCCTGGGGTACATGGTGAGTTCAAGGTTAGCCTGCACTACAAAGTGAGACCCTGTCTCACAAAAACAACCCCTCCTCCTACAAATTTCCACCCTATTCATCTTCACTCTTGTATGAACTCACTGACTTTACATAGGGTTTGCTATAGGGAAAAAGTAGTACTGAATTACAAAGCACAGTATGATTCTTCAAGAAATGTTCTAAATACTTGTTCTGTTAAAAAAATAATAATAATTTTGGGGATACAGCTCGGCAGTGCAAGTGCCTGCCTGGCAAGCGCAACATCCTGAGTTCGATTCCCGGTACAAAAAAAAAAAAAAAAAGAGTAATTTTAAAATGTGCATATCACAAAGTTTGTAGAAAAAAATTTAATCCAATAAATGCCTTATTCTATCAAAAATTCTATTTAGTAATATATATTCGCTTAGATTATATTTTGTTTTTAAGTTGGTCTTTATACTTGCAGGACTGCAAGTTGTTTCACAGCCGAAAAGAAAAATGTTCGGCTCCATCTGAAAGGAAGATCAACCTCCTACTTTGTATAGAGACATTATCATCGTGCAAAATTCACTCCTAAGAAAATCTACTATTTGTTAAAGTGAATGCCAACAGTAAACAGCTGCTGTTCAGCAAAAGCAAGCTCTTTACCCAGGACCTAAACCCATTTTTCTGCAATGCACTGACCTCCCTCCACGCTGCACAGCCAGAGCCTGGGATCTACAGAGGCTGCTGGGCGTAACGGTGTACAGGTTTCAAGCATGAAACCAAATCTCACAAGAGGTTTAAAAGCACTTGAATTTTCTTTCCCAGGTAACCACAACATTTGTTCATTGTATTAATGACTAAGAGCAAAATTGCACATAACAAGACTCTCATTATACTAAAAGTCAAGCTTATATTTAGAGCTCCTGGCTTGTTATACAGAGCGGTACTCGCATTCCTCACAGGGAATAAAATCAGGTCCCCTGGAGAGCAGGGTGATGATTCCCAGAAAGAAAGCCCTGGATTATTTCTCTCTAATTTCACCCATTGGCTTTTTAGCCAAGTTCACCCTTCCGCATTAAAATATTAAGCCTTTGTAAGTGTCTAAAGACAGAAAGGCCTTTACAGAGTTGAGTATTTTCTGCAGGTGAGATTTTACATTTTGAATTCCCTCCTCTCAAATTACTTTACAAAAGGGATTAACTGCTCTCTTTATTCAATACGTTAAGATCAAGCTTGTGAAAAGAGTTCCCTAAGAATTTTCATACTTCTGGGTACGGAAGTCTATAAAGTTAATCTCTGAAACAACATATCAAGCTTACAGGTACAATGTTGAGGGAAGAGTGCCAATTCAGCTCACTTTACCTTCCACTTTCCCTTTTGAACTTTTGACACAATCATGATTATATCTGATTCACTCTAATGGGGGGGGGCTAGAGGGTTAAAGTCCCTTCCCTTCTAAGATCAGCTAGCAGCTGGATTAGCTAGTAGTTGTGTATTTTTAAAAGGATCACGGTTTATTTAAGAAAATTTTTAGTCTTTTCATCTGTGATGTTTTCGTATGAGAACTGCTTTAGAGTTTTGATAAAGTCACACCAAGAAATTATAGGCTGAGGTATTTGTAGCTCAGCAGCAGCAAAATGTGAGGCTCTGAGTTCAGTCTCCAACACTATGTAAAAGAAAAAAGAACGAGAAATTCTCCATATTATTGCCTCGCTATATATAGAGTAATAAGGTTGCCTGTGAAAATTCTTCCTGGTCTACAGGTAGTTTACTGGTAGACCACTTGCTGAGTATACCAGCACCACAAAAACAACACAAACCTTATCAATTATAAGGTTCTTTCAAAGTACTTGATCAAAATAAATGAAAAACTGCTCTGAGCTGGGCAGGGTAGCACACATCTGTAATCCCAATGCTTGGAAGGCTGAGGCAGGACTGCCTCAAATTTAAGGCCAGCCTGGGCTATACAGTGAGAACCTATCTCAAAAACAAACAAAAAGGGGCTGGGGATTTAGCTTAGCGGCACAGTGCCTGCCTGGCAAGCACAAGGTCTTGAGTTCGATTCCTGGTACCAAAAGAAAAACAAAACAAAAACAAAACAAAAAGATCCTCAAACACTGAAATACCATCCTGGTCCTTGTGAAGCTTACAATGTAAAAATGTAAAAAGATAACCATATAAAAAGTTAAACGTACTTGGTTAAAAATACCAGATGTGGTATTTTTACTGTGGTACTGTGGCCCGTACCTGCAATTCCAGCCACTTCTAAGCCTGAGGCAGAAGGATTAAAAAGTTTAAGGTCAGGCTGGGCAACTTAGCAAAACCCTGTCTCAAAATACAAAAGGGCTGGGGGTACAGCGCAACGTACAGTCCTTGTCTAGCATGTCCGAGCCTAGGTCAATGGTGGCGGCGGGACGGGAGAAGGAACCGACAATTGATTCAGTCAGAATTACGTTCATCCAGGGAGCAGCCATATAATATGAACAAAGAGTTGAGAATGGTGAGGAAGCATGCACTAAAGGCAGAGAAAAGTAAGTACAGGGTTTAGTTGGAGATGGAAAATAAAACTGACACCAGGCACATGCCCGTAATCCCAGCACTTTGGAGGCTGAGGCAGGAGGATCAATGCAAGTTTAAGGCTAGTCTGGACTACACAGTAAGACCTGTCTCAAAAAACCAATCCCCACCTAAAAAAATCCCAGAACACTCAGTCCTAAATGGAACATGGTGGCATATGCTTGTAATCTCTGCACTCTGGGAGGATGAAGCAGGAGGACTCAAATTTG